ATGTATCGATAAATCTACTATATCGACAAAATATATTATACCTTTAGCTAATGGAGACAGAGTGAGACAATGTACGAGGGCTCCACCAGCACTTTCACCGAAGATAGTGACATTTTCTGGGTCTCCACCGAATTTTGATATATTTTTCTGGACCCATTGTAACGCCATGATTATATCCTTCAGACCTTGATTACCCGTTGCCACTTTGTTGTTAAGGTTTAGGAAACCTAAAGTCATTAATGCATTTTTTTCATAAACTCGATTCGTTTAAATTAAAAAAGAAATGGTTACTTTATATCCGAAGGAAAAATCGCGTCATAACTTGTTTCTAGTACACTGATCGTATGAGCGGCAAATATAAATAGTCTTGTATACAAAAAGTAAATAACGTATTGTAAACGTGATATAAATATAAATATGGATTTAACTTTTTTTTTATAAATCTATATTTTTGAAATGTTTAACTTTGGGAATGAAAGGTCTGTAGAGAGAAATCAACATATCCAAGTGAAATAATCGTTGAAATAGATACAATATAACCATTTACTATTAAATGCCATAAATGATTGTATACTGAAACAAATAACGTACCTAGAACTCCTAGTCTATAATTCAAGGTAACCAAAACTACGTCTTTTTGCACGATGTAATCGGGGCCATAAAAGAATGCATCACCGGAACCCATATAAAAGGCACCGCCGTGTATCCATACCATAACGGTACGTTTTTTCGAGGATTCAATTTTTGTTGCGTACACATTTAAATAGAGACAATCTTCATCGCCCTCAATTTTGCGTGTGAACTCATTCAATTGAACAGCGATATTTCCGTGCTTCGAGGCGTCTCTACCATCGGACCATGGTTCCACTGGTACCGGATCCTAAATACGTAAAATTTGTTCATATATAGAATTTTTCAAAATTTGTGCGCACTGTGCGATTCTCTGAGTTAGAAGAAACAATTTTTTCTTTACGTAAAATTGCGTTTGAGTAATAGGTACTTCTTAAATAAGAACAATTTAAAGCTAATGAATGAGCTGTAAGTTCCGCATAAATTAGGAACGGCGTGCACTGGATGGACATCTATGCTAGTTTATCTTTTTTTTGTGACTAATATCTTTAAACTTAATTACTAATTTATATTATCAACAAATTGTTTAACAAATTAAAAGATTAATTTATGTTACAAATAAATTGTTCGAAATCAGTTATTTCTTCGAACAATCGCGCATAAAAATTTGTTTATCGTAATCTTCTTTAGTTTATTAAATTATTGTTCTAAATATCAGTATTTTATTATTATTATTTTATGTTTAAATATCGCACCTCGAGAAGAATACTCCCACAACTAAAAAATTCATGATTGTAAACAAAATTCAATTTCTGTGAATTGTGAGATAACTAACGCAATTACAATTATGATATTTTGTTGTAATAAAACTTATATTTTTTCTTGAAGAGGTCAGCTGTGATTCACTTGTCAATTCGCTTTTAGCGCTATTTATTCAAGAAATCACAACATGACTGGTTTACAAGAATAACGACACTTTAGCCCCATGCAGCGGATTTCGCACATAAACTTGTAACACTACTGTAGCACATATAGGTAACATTTTGTTCGTAAATTACGTTTAAAAAAAAATTCAAAAAAATGATTTTTTTTTTAATTTTTTAAAATGTGTAAATAATTCCAACGGCACTTTTTACTTATATCAATTGATTTAATAATGTTCTAAGTACATCTGGAAATTTTTTCAAGCTGATCGCACTTGTCAATTTAAAATGGTAGACGATCAAAGTGTGTGTAGGGTCAGATTGACCCAGAATGTTATCCGTGAATGAAAAAATAGGTGTGTTCTCGGAGGGTTAAAATCGAAATTTTTTAAGTTGTGACAGTATTCTTCTCAGGGTGCGATATATGTATAGATAAAGAAAAACGATTATATAACAAGATTATATAATAATTGCATAACACAACTGATAAGTAGCTTTATCAGTGTCGTTTATTTTTCTCTAAAAGGGTTAATTTTTCGTATTTTTCTAATCTCCTTACGGCATGATAAGCGATTAGTTGAGCCAAAACTGAAATTAATTAATATTTTACATATATTATTTTATTTTTACATATGTATAGATAAAGAAAAAGAGATTATATAATAAGATTATATAATGATAAAAGACAAACAGATTATATAATAATTACATAATATACTTGATAAACAGATATCGTTTATCTGGATCGTTTAATCATAATTTTCTGTAAAAGAGTTGTGACTTTTCGTATTTTTTAAATTTTCTTAAAGCGCGATAAGCGATAAGCAATCAGAGCTGCCATGCGATTCTGTAACTCCTTATGCAGTATCGTTATCGTTATATTGGCATTACGCAGCTTTTTTACCACACAGAAAAAAAAGAAGTATCAAATCAACACTGATATACTTATATTATACGTAAGAATATATAATCTTGAAATAAGATTTTATTGCGTTGAAAGAAGAAAAAACTTGCTTGGATGAAGTAATTTATATAGCTAAACGAAGTTCTATATGTGGTTCAATTAACAAGTAAGAAAGAAAAAACTTGAAATAAAAAGTTGAAATTCTTATATAAGAAGATTATATATTCTTGCGTATATACAAGTATATATCAGTGTTGATTTGATACTTCTTTTTTTCTGTGCATATATAGTACCTATACCTGCGCAACTGTCGTTATGAGTACATAAATGACAGCATAACGAGTTACAGACGAGAATCGCACTACAGTTAGACTAAAACTAAAACCCCTGATAGCACTTTAATTGAAGCAACAGCTTTTTTTCTCAGTGTATGTATTATAATAATACATATACACGGTAATTAATATTGAGTTGCCTAAGATCTAAGCTTATAGACCGAAAACAGCTTGTATCTTATTCGAAAATTTATATATATTTTTTAATTTTATTATTATTTTAATTTTGTGTTTTGTGGGGGGCTTCGCTTTCCACACCACCCACCAGGACTTTGCCCCTGGACCCCCCATCACTTTATTTTTCACTTTCTATTTAACGATAGGCGCGTATAAACTGTATTATACGAATGGACGAATGGTTTATACGCACGAATGCACCAAACGCACTCTTTCTACAGGCATTCAGAAGTCTAACATTTCCGTAAAGGTGTTGTGAAAAATATCGTGTGCACCTTGGGTTGAAAACTTTTTCACACTCGTCTGAAAAAACGCTGCTTTCTTCTCTTGGTGCACAATATACTATTATCTTTTTCTGAAAATGCATTCATAATAGAATTTTACGTACTTTGAATCTAAGTTCTCCAATTGGCGGTTTTGCATATGGTATTCCTCGAAAGGCGGTGTAGTAGTCACCGTAAACACCTTTTTCTACAATACCAATTAACTTTCCCTCGTGCACGCATATTTCGACTCTGCTGTTGTCCATGTTGAATACGCTGGAATACTGACGAGCGGACTGACAAACAGCGTATTTATTCATCTGAGTTGCGTAGATGTGTTTGTGAAGATATCAATAATTGTAAGAAACAAGTGAGATTAGAATCGAGTATGTTGATCAAGTTTTATTTATAGCCTAACGCCGATGATTAATATTTTACGTAATGCACGCGTCAGCACATAAACATGTGATGCATATAAACTTGCATTATCTCTTTTGCTATATTTCTCAGTGTACAACTATGAAAACTTGTTATGCGTTTTGCTATTCCAAATGTGCAAGGAATATGAAGAAATGCTCCCCGATGCACTGTAAATGTAAATTAACTCACAGAATTGTGCAAATATAATTATAGAAAATATGAATTTTTCTTACTGAGCACACACAGAATTGAAATTTGCATAATAGTTAGTTGAAATCACTTTTAAATTTAACACACAAATTTTGAAGAAGAAAAGAATAGAATATATTTAAAACATATATAAATATAAAAAATATTTTAGAATGGACGTAAATATACAGTGTTATTTTTTATGAATTTATAATTACATTTAATTCTTAACGAAGAGATCGAGATTTTCCGTTATAATTTTTCAATAATTTTTCATTATATTTTCACTATATTTGCAAGTAAGCCTCAAATTAATATGTATTAAATCAAGACGAAGCTCACTTTATGAAGTTACATAATAATGTTCTACGATTTATTTGTATATTCCAACTTTATTTTGATCAATATAACATTTTCGGTAACAAAAATCGATTTCAAATTGTACATAGAAAAGAATATCTATTAATATTGTCCATATTATACATTGTAAATTCTTTATGAATACTGGGTATAACATATTTATCACAAATTAAGAAATAATTATCACAAAATGAAATTAATAGACATTAAGAAACATAATTTTAATGTAAATATTTTAGCAGACAGAATCTTATAATTTGTGTTTCATATTCTTCCAATCGCAGCGCTGTTCTCCTTTACGAATGATTTCCATCCGAGGTTCAATATCAATATTTAAATAATCGTATACATCTCCGTGCTTTAATGGAGTCCATTTAATCGGATTCAAATTCGTAATAGCAGACGTTGGATCTCTATAAATTGAAAATTTAAAATTAAATATATATTAATACAATTATAAAATTTCCGTAACGGTAAAAAAAGAAATTAAGTTTATTGTACCCTGTTTTAGCAAAATTCGTCCACATCTGCGTTAAGCGATCTATCACTTTAGAGTCTTTCGAATCAGGAGCAGGTGGTGGTAAATTGAACTCTTTCATCATATGAGGATGAAATAAATAAAATATATCTTCACCATGAGCCACTCCTAAAATAATGTCATATAATAAATCAATTTTGAAAACGCAAACTGAATTTTCTTAAAGTAATTAACGTTTTGTTTAAATATTACAAAATAATCTTTAATCTTTTTAAGTCAATTATTTTTAAATGTTTGATATATGGTGGATTTTTAAAAATAATATTTAGAAAATCAGAGTCGTTTTTGTTAACATTAAATCATGATAAATGTACTCGTATTTCTTAGAAGATTAAAGGCTTTTGTGTGGTTTTAAGTAAAATAGCGACGTTACCTGGAAGTGTAACGTTCATTATTTTTTTTGTGGGGGAAGTTTTACTTTCATACGAAAGTTTATACAAATATGTTGGCGTGTAACCACCAGAATTCATTTGGATATCGATCACTTCCATGGTACCACGGTAGAATAAGGCATCTCCAAGAAAATCAGCGTAATTTATTAGAGTTTCTTCTGATATTGCTTTGTTACCAAAATATAAAAATCGTAATTCTTCAACCGTGATCGGTATCTTTGGCAATGCAGATAAAACTCCGGGCATCATAGTCTTTTTAAAATCGGAATTGATTTGTTTAAGAGCTTCCTTGCTTATTTCTGAAATTTAAAAACTATATTACTTTTAACGATTACACAAGCTATTTTAGGCACTTATTTGCTAAGAAAATAATTTACTTCGCTAAAGAGAAAATCTGTTTGCGTGAAAATATTATATTCTATTATTTCTCCCATACGGCTTGTTAAGAAAAATATGACATGTCTGTTGATGATACTGAAAAATAAAAAAAACGAGCAATATCTAACTGTTGTAACATTTAATTATAAACGTATGTACGAAGCATATGTTAAAAGTAACGTTATTTTAGAACAAAGATGATTATTTTGACGCATAATTTTTTAATTTGTTTATATTGATTTGTTAATATTGATAGGGCATACCTATACGATACATACACTACACATATACATACATATATATCAATGTGTATTATTCTAGTAGGTCACGTAATATGAAAATTCATGCGCTACAGTGAGTGGCTGGAGATATATTTAGCGAACGCGCATGCAAATGCACTTACGTCCGACAAGTGTACTGCTTATGAGAAAAGACCCTTCGCAACTGGTATTTCCTAAAAGGAACGGCACTTTAACTCCGCGATGTATCAACTTGCATGGGTGTTCCGGAAAGAATGGATTCGGTGACTCGTAATCTAAACTTGGTGTAAACATTATAGTATGTTGTAGACGATCCTGCAAAAAAGTATTATTAGTGAAAATATTTCGTACCACCTGTTCACATAATATAATTAATTGCGCTTGTATAAAGTATATTTTAATAAAATATTGAGATTGTATATACTTACCGTTTGCGTGGCAAGAAACTTGTGTGCGGTTTTTATAAGTTTTTTCGCGTCAATTGTTTTAAGAAACTCGTAGGCGACTTTCGGGTCTGATGTCGCTTTTCCAAGTTTCTCGGCAAGTTGAAAACTTCTGTTCATCGCTTTGTTCGTCCACTCAGTCAAGGCCCAAGGATTCGCGGCAACGCCGCTTTGTGATATCGCTTTATGAAATAAACCTGTAAAGTGCAGTCAAATTTAGTTTAATATATTAATTAATTGTCATAAAATCTTATCCAATAAATATTCCTTTAATCATTATTTTGTGGATCACTTTAGAATTGATTTTATTTTTGAGAAAATATTTTAGAAAATATTAGTAGTTATTTCCTACAACTTTCAATATCTAATTTATCGTTAAAATTGAAATTAAAATTTCAAAAGTTTTAAATAAAAACTTTTTTAAATATCTTCTATACTTACTTAAAATTGATTTTATAGCAATTTTGTTATTCAGTTGAGAGAGAGAGAGAGGGGGGGGGGGGGGGGAGAGAGAGAGACTTGGGCAACAACTCTTTTTTTTATCTTAAAACGTATCAATTTTGAACGTTTTCGTTGAAGAAAAATCGAGTTTAAAATGACCAATGAGTCTTTGAATATTAAATACGATGAAATTTACAGATTTTATATCATTGCGTATCAAGTGCATATAAGTTGCACCTTTGCCTAACGGAGACAGAGTTAGATAATGCACGATAGCTCCACCAGCACTTTCGCCAAAAATAGTGATGTTTTTCGGATCTCCTCCGAATTGTGATATATTTCTCTGGACCCATTGTAATGCCATAACCACATCCTTTAGACCTTGATTACCCGTTGCCACTTTGTCATTGAGATTCAGGAAACCTGAAGTAATTAATGCATGTTTAATTTGCAAACTTGATTAATCAAAATTAAAAGTAGATGGTTAATATACATCTAAAAGTAAAATTTACATTAATGGTATAATATTTCTGTTAAGAAACATTTTTGCTTCAAATGACGCAAAGATAGATAATATCAACAACATAATATGAATCTATGTAGCATTGTACCTACATATCAGTACCTTATACATATGTAGCTAGGTACAATGCTACAAGATATCAAGCTGTCTTTAAAATATGGGTTATCTTAAAAAGAAAATCAGTGTACAAAACGATTTCTTTGAAAAAAGAAGTTTAAGATCTAAAAATGTTAATTCTAAAAAACTACGAGACGTAAATGTCGCACAATTTCGTATTGAGCTAACATCCAACGTACCGAGAGCCCCTAGTCTGTAATTTAGCGTAACCAGTACCACGTCCTTCCGAACAATATAATCAGGACCATAGAAGGTGGCATCACCGGAACCCATGGCAAAACTGCCACCATGTATCCACACCATAACTGGGCGTTTTTTCATAATATCTATAGTATATACGTTCAGGTAGAGGCAATCTTCGTCGCCTACCATTTCTCGTGTCATCATATCAACTTGAACAGCGATGTTACCATATTTTGAGGCATCTCTGCCGCCGGACCATGTTTCCGGTGGTAGCGGATCCTGTATAGATATAGGCATTGCTTTTATTTTAGAATTAATCTTGCATTGTATTTTTTTTTCCTTCATAAAAAGAGCGCACACGTGCGATTATGCAACCTGTTCTAAATTCGTAATTTGCCCTATAATTGATCCACACTCACGAATGCATGGAGAATATTGACAAATTTTCAATATAAATGATTGACACGTGCGCGTATCGATTCTTCAGATCTCAAGGATACTTTTTCATTCCGTATGCAACAATTTTAATTGCTGGATATTTTCGCCGTCTGTATCTACGTCGTCAACAAGCGGATGATTAATTATGAAGAGAGCACAAAGTTCATAATTACGTGTAAACAAAACTGAGGGTCTTGAATTTTGTACTCGGTATATTAATTCTTTATTTTATCAATAACAGCCTATTGGCAATATACGTAATAAAATATCTGCGTTGCTTGAATATTTGAACCACGAAAATTTCAAGTGCGCCACTTTTTCTCATATTCCGTGTGCGTCCTTGAAGTCGTGACACAATGAAAAACTTAAGCCGTAGTAGAAATTAGGCAGTAAATGAATCGACTACAAGCGAGCATTCTCGAGAATGGTAGATTAGCTCGGAAAGAACGCTCGACTGTGATTGATCGATTTACCGATTAAGTTCTACTGTTCATGTTTTTGTTTCTATATGCTTCAGTTACACGAATCTATAACAAAAAGATTAACTTATCTAGAAATAAATCATTGTACTTATTCGAATCACGCTAGAAATTTACCGTCGCAGTTGAATATACTATAAATATGTGAAGAATCCATTCGTGTTATTTCTTTATTAAAATTATAAAATTACAGTTTTCCACAAGTCTCGCAAGTTACTAACTTGATAATATGCCAATATAAATTATTTGCAGCTTTAAGAAATTATCTAGTAATATGACAATAATATTAAAGTTTGAAGAAAGTTTGAAGGCTTTTTTGTTCTACAAGGTTTTTTTTTAATTTATATACCACTGATACCTCGATTGAATTAATAATTTAAATTTAAAAATATGTTAACAGTTGAAAATTAATTGTAAATTATGAGAGAATAGGTACTAATTATAATTTTCTATTTTTTGTAGTAGAATCAGATTTTATACTTGATTTGATATTTACATTTGTCCATAAATCACTCTCTGAATGTCGCGCCTAAGTGTACGTAAAATCCAAAGCGCAATGAATAATCCATGTAATCTACCAATTTAATTAAATATAAAATAATGATCCGGCAACATAAGTAAGAGTTATTTTTTAAAATCAGTGTTATTCAATTATAATTTTTTTAACTGACATTTCGTACCTGTCTAATTAAAAATCTAAAGAAAGACGGATGAGAAGCGAAGCTGTTAGTTTAACTTGTCCAAGATTGGAGTTAAACGCTTATGCTGAACGCATACGCTGAACTTTGGTGAGGGAACGTTATTTACCTTGAACCTGAGTTCGCCGACCGGCGGTTTCGCGTACGGTATTCCTCGGAAGGCGACGTAATAACCGCCATGGACAGCTTTCTCAACGATACCGATTAATCTTCCCTCACGTACGTATATATCCACTCGATTATTGTCCATGATGGATACGGTGGAAGAACGACGAAATAACAACGTTAACGAATCCGCCGATTTAGCTTGGGCAACTATGTATGTGGAGCTACGATTATGCAACCATATATATACTCGTGTAAGTGAATGTCGGAACATTGTGCTGTAATGGCTCGATTGGCTCTCTTTGGGAGGAGGAGAAGAAGAAGGAGGACGAGGAGGAGGAGGAGGAGAAGGAGAGAGTGGGAGTTAAATGAAGAAAAGTTGCTGATTCGTTGTTTTTAATATCGTTATCGTCTACCGGGTAATTCCGATGGGACGAGACTGTTTTACATACGATTTATAAGTGCGCGTACATTAAGTATCTCTTCTGCTGCAGCGATAAGCGGTGCAGTAAACAGTATTTTTTACTTTGAAAAAATTGCAAATAATGATAAAGTATCAATTACACACGACACATACACACACACACCACAATATATATATATATATATATATATATATATATATATATATATATAATCGAAAAAATAGCGTGTTTTTTAATAAAGAAAATGGACAATTATTGAAACAATGATTTTAACTTCTCTTTTATTTAGATATTTTCTATTTTTGAATGCGTCAATGCTTGAATGGTTTCGTTGAAACAATCAAGTTGATCAATGAACTTATCATTAAATAGGATTAAATAGGATGAAATTCGAGGTTTCTGTATCGATAAGTTTGTAGGTTGAATCTTTAGTTAATGGAGATAGTGTTAGACAATGTGTGATAGGCTGCACCAGCACTTTCGCCAAAGATAGCGACATGGATCTCCACCAACCTCTGATATATTTTTTTGAACCCACTTTAACGCCATGACCACATCCTTTAGACCTTGATTACCTTCTGCCACTTTATCGTTGAGATTCAAAAAGCCTGAAACCATTTAACTCTTTTTTTATAAGATCGATATATTCAAGATAAAAATAGATGTACGACACAAAACGTAGAAAGAAAAGTATTGTTTCAGAGTTAATAAAAACATAATTCTCCATTTATTGTAAATAACCTTTTGCTTTTATTACAGAAGTATTTGCTTTGACTTTAAAAAAATTTGTTGTAATAAGTAAGAATATTTTACTCTTATTTAATATTCTTAATAACAAATAATTGTATTCATTCTGACCATTTTTATTTTCTGTATTAATATTTGATTGCAGACCATAGACGTACATAATAGACTGAATTGTGACAATTACTAAAGGAAAGCGTCTCCGCAAGCATAGGTATCTTCTGTCCTTCAGATTTTGCCGGAAACTCTCCAATGGAAACACTCACAAGGGAAGGGTCAACCTTCGGGGTCACCGATTTTGTCAAAATTTTACTAAAATGTAATATTGATATAGAAGTGACAAATGCTGTACGGAGACGATGCGCTTCTCAACCGTTGCCGAGAAATTGCGATGTAAATTTTATTTTATTTTATTTTATTATTATTTTAAAACCGTGCATAAAATGTTCGTAAAATATTAGCGATTTTGAAAGTAAATAAAAAAATATATATATATTGGCAGGGATATTTACATAATATTAAAAAAATTGTATGTATATTTATTGGTTTATTTATTAGTTTTGTATAGGTATAAAAAAAAGGTTACAATAAAAAAAGGCGTACAAAAAGAGAATATTATAATAAAATGATTGCGATTATTCGTCGTCTTGCTCTGTAACTTTACAAACTTTA